TTTTTTAAGTTTTAAAAATCCGTGGTGTATGTATGTGTGTACACATATACACACATGTAAGAATATATGTACACACACATTTAAAAGGTAACCAATTCCTTTGCACTTTAGCCACTTACCAACTAGGCCCACTGTCTATTCCATGATTTAGTCCTTATGACAAATTCTTCTTCTTTTTTTTTTTTTTTTTGAGACGATTTTGCTATAGGGCGCGTGCGCTCACCAGAAAGACAGCGAAAGACAGAGGCAGAAAGTGAGAAATCACCCCCCGGGGGGATGGCCACGCTGCAATCCATTTTCCTCCATTCTCCTCTCGGGACTACCTAGAAACGCATGCACATGCGCCCGGCATGAGCTTAAGCCACCAGGTCCGGGACTCGAACCATGGTCAACTACATGGGAGTCCAGCAACGTAGCCATTAGATCAACTGCTGGTCCCTACTTATGACAAATTCTAAAAGCAATGTATTTCCTCTATTTTTAAAAAGACCATTAAAACTGATCATATATGGTGGAAAGGTTGAACACACACACACAGTTTCCAGTTTAAAACATGTGACATATGAATGACATAGGCACAAATGGGTCCTGCTGGCCCCCCACCCCTAGAAGAGGCCACAAAAGAACTCCCATTCCTCACTGAATCAAAATATTCTTTACTGGGGGCTAGTAGGTGGCATAGTGGCTAAGGGTGCTGGACTCACACATGGCCGACCCTGGTGCGAGTCCTGGACTTGGGGGCTTGCTCTTTCTCGCTTTCTCACTCTGTCCCTCTCTAGTCAAATTAAAATAAATGAAGTTAAATAAAATAATTCTTTAAAAAAATAAATTCTTTACTGAATACCAGAGGCAAGCCCTGTGCACATCATCCTATTTAAATTTTTACAAGTACACTGTGAAGTTCATAGGATCACCTTATTTTATTGATGAGGAAACTGAGGCTTAGAAATGTCTTATCTGGGTTGTCAGGTGGTGTGGGTGGATAAGGTGCTAGACTCCGACATGGCCAACCACAGTTAAGTCCCAGACATGGTGGCTTGTTTGCTTTCTCACTCTCTGTCTTTCTCTGATCAAATTAAATAACAATAAATAAATAAAACTAAGTAAATAATTCTTATATAAATGTCTTATCGAAGGTTCAGATCTAAAAAGGAGACCTTCTGGGATTCAAACTCAGGCAAGACTAATGCCAAGACTTAAGCCATTAACTGCCCTTCTATGAAATCCCTTTCAGTAGTTTTTTTTCCAACTCTGCTTAGATTCCTGAAGCCCTGTCTCTGAAATGTCAGTGTCAGGCCCCCACTCTTGCCCTTTCCAATCTGACTTACATAGAAAATCTTAGCAAGACATTTTCTCTGTTTAATATCTTTTAATATCTGTGTGCGTGTGTGTATGTGTGTGTGTATTTCGGACAGGGTCTTACTGTGTCCAATTCTCCTGTCTTGGCCACCTGAGTGGCTGTGATTACAGGTGTATGCCATTGCACCTGGTTTTTAAAAGGGATCAGTAATTGAACTTGAGCCTCCAAGTGATCGCAGCCTGCTGAGTAAGCAGCAGTGTCCAGAGCACACTACCACAGCTGGGCCCAAATCCTTCAATATCTTTATAAAATCCTCAGGATGAAGTCTGAAACCTTAAGTCTGGCCAACAAGGTCCTGCATAAGCTGGGCTTGTATTTCCTTCAACCCTGGCCCTTACATCCTGCTATCTAATCACACTGAATGATTTATAAATCACCAGACTCACTGGGCTCTTTTACACCCTTCCCTTGCCCAGCCTCTTTCATCTGGAATGTCCTCCCCACATCCATCACCTATGAATGGCTAACTCTGATACTGCCTTCCAAACATAGCTCAGCTGTCACTTCTGGAAAGCCTTTCACAACCCTCGGACTGGGCTAGATGCCTCCTCTGGGCTCATAGAGCCCCTGCTTTCTCCATCAGAGCACTTGTCACATTGACTGTCCTTGCCCCTTCATATGTCCACTAGATGGGAGCTCCTGACACACAGAAGTTAAAGCGCACATCTGTGTGCTCCCAGGGCTTAGCACAGGGCCCAGCTGTGGTGTTGCCTGCTGTGGCACTTACTGAACGCTTGCCAAACATACGCTTCATTACCCGCACTTTCTCTTGGGTCCTTGACTATACCAAGGTATTGCCTACCACAGAGCTTTGCACCTGCTCTGGTTCCTAAATCCTGGAACACTCCTCCCTCTCCCATAATCTCCCCACTTCCACCCATCTCCATTCAGGCAACCCCTATTTTTCATCCATTCAAAAAATACAGATTGCTACCATGTGCCAGGCACAATGTGACAAGTGACAGAATCATTGTCCTCACGGAGTTGGGAGAAGAATGGGGATACATACATTATAATGAAATCATGTTGTAGTCTAAGAAGAAAAAAATATTGGGGGCCAGCAGGTGGCGTGGTAGTTAAAGCACTGGACACTCCCGCATGACCAACTGTGGTTCAAGTCCTGAACCTGGTGGCTTGCCTTCTCACTTTCCTTCTCTCTCTGTCTCTCTCTGGTCAAATTAAAAGAAATGAATAAGTGAATAAAATTAAATAAATATTTTTTTAAAAAGGAAGGAAAAAATATTAAGCCATCAGAAAAGTCATAACATATTTTTCTGTTTTTCTATGCAAATATGTGTCATGACTTTCCAACAACCCAATACCAGGAGATCTGAGATAATACAATAGTGAAGGCCAAACTTAGTCTTAAAAATCACTGAGGATGGAGGGACCAGCAGTTAGCGTAATGGCTATGTCGCTGGACTCCCATGTAGTCGACTGCGGCTCAGGTCCCAGACCCAGTGGCTTAAACTAATGTTGGGTATGTGTGCGTGCATGTGTGCCCAAGATCCTGAGAGGAGAATGGAGGAGAAGGGATTGTGGCATGGCCATCCCCCCTGGGGGGTGATTTTTCGCTTTCTGTCTCTCTGTCTTTATATTCCTGGCAAGGGCATGTGCCTATAGCAAAAACCTCTCCAAAAAAAAAAAAAAAAAATCACTGAGGACAGAACCAGAAGATGGCGTAATGGTTATGTTGTTGGACTCCCACATAGTCGATCATGGTTAGAGTCCCAGACCCGGTGTCTTAAAACTCAAGCCGGGGGAACCAGCAATCAGTGTAATGGCTATGTCGCTGGAATCCCACGTAGTCGACTGCGGTTCGCGTCCCGGACCCGGTGGCTTAAAACTCACACCAGGCGCGTGTGCATGTGTGCCCAAGATCCCGAGAGGAGAATGGAGGAGAAGGGATTGCGGCGTGACCATCCCCCCTGGGGGGTGATTTCTCGCTTTCTGTCTCTATGTCTCTCTCTGTCTTTCTGGTGAGTGCACGCGCCCTATAGCGAAAATCTCTCCAAAACAAAACAAAAAAAAAAAACTCAAGCCGGGTGTGTCGGTGTGCGTGCCCCAAATCCTGAGAGAACAGAGGAGAAGAGATTGCGGCACAGCCATCTCCCCCAGGGGGTGATTTCCTGCTTTCTGTTTTTCTGTCTCTCCAGTAAGTGCATGTACCCTATATCAAAAATCTCTCAGGACCAGCAGGTGGTGTGGTGGTTAAGGCACTGGATAATCCCAACTGGCCGACCATGGCTCGAGTCCCACCAGACCTGGTGGCTTGCTTTCTCACTTTCCCTCTCTCTCTCTCTCTCTCTCTGGTCAAATTAAAATAAACAAATGAATAAATTAATTTTTTTTTTAATTTCTCAAAAAAAAAATCACTGAGGACTTTCTATGTGGTGGAAGTGATGTGTCAAGAACATGTGATGGTTCGGGACCAGCAGTTGGCGTAATGGCTATGTCGCTGGACTCCCATGTAGTCGACCACAGATTGAGTGCTGGACCCGGTGGCTTAAACTCACACCGGGCATGTGTGCATGCGTGCCCAAGATCCCAAGAGGAGAATGGAGGAGAAGGGATTGCAGCATGGTCATACCCCGGGGGGTGATTTCTCGCTTTCTGTCTCTCTGTCTCTCTCTGTCTTTCTGGTGAGTACACGGGCCCTATAGCAACAAAACAACAAAACAAAACAAAACAAAAAACTCTCCAAAAGAACATGTGATGGTTCAAAGGCTGGAAGGAGCATGGGAACTGAAGAGACCATGTGAGAGTCTAGAAAGTACAGAAAATGGAGAGACGAGGCTGGTGATGCCTCATTGTGCAGTGCCTTTGTAAGTCACATTAAGGATTTTGAACTTCATCCTAAAAACAGTGAGAAGCCACTAAAGGGTTCTCATTATATAGGAAAGATTAGATCCTCAGTTTCAAAAGATCACTGTGACTGCTGGGACAATGAAGGGTACAAGAGTGAAAACCAGGAGACTGGTGAGAAAGCTCTGCAGTAATCCAGGGAGCGAGATGATGACAGCTTGGACTAGGGTGGTAGCAGTGGAAGTGGAAAAAAATAGATTTGCAATATGGTCAGGAGCAGAACAGCCAGGACTTGGTAACTGGTTGAAAGAGGAAAGAAGAGTCAAATATTTTGATTGGATAATTAATTGGATGATTAGTTGTTTAATGTCTGCCACCCTTGTTTCTTTTTTTTTTTCTTTTTAGTTTTTGCTACAGGGCACACATACTCAAAGGAGAGAGACAGCAATAGAGACAGAGCTAGGCAGGGAAAATGAGAAATCACCCCCCAGGGGAGATGGCCATGCCACAAACCCTTCTCCTCCATTCTCCTCCTTCGGGCATACGTGCACATATGTCCATGTAATTTTCAAGCCACCGGGTCCAGGACTTAAACCACAGAGTTTGACACATGGAATCCAGCTGTCTTAACCTCTATGCCACCTACTGGCCCCTCTGTCTCCCTTCTGAGCCATGAGGACATGGGTTATGTTCTTGTTTGGTTCCTTGCTGTATCTCCAGCATAAGACCAGGAATATAGTAGGCACTCAATTAATGTTTACTGACCAGATGGAAAAATGGATGTATGTTTGGGCAAGGAAGCTGTCTATCTCTGGGCAGGTGGGGACCAGCTCACCTCTGGGCATCAGGCTGCGAGATGGCATTGACAATGGCCTCCACACTGCTGTCGAAGAGCTCCGAGTCCTGCAGAGCAGCGAAGGCAGCCTGAATGAGCGCCTCACAGTCCTGCAGTGGCACCTCCAGCTGCACCCAGCTGGAGAAGCACTTGAGCACCTTCTGACGCACACAGCTGGGTGAGCTGGGCTGCTGTAGCAGCTGCTCCAGCAATGGGAAGACAGCCCCACACTCTACCGCCAGGCTGGCTCGCACCAGGCCTTTGCGGTACTGGGGCAGGCGGCTGGTCTGGAACTCCTCAGGCAGCACTGTCAGAAGCTCTAGCAGGGCCAGGCAGCGGCCCTGGCCGTCCACCGGTGAGTCCTCGGCCTGGAAAAGCCGTACCATATCTGCCACAGCACATGGCCAAGCGTCAGGCATCATGCTGAGAGCCAGTGAGGCCAGTGCCACGCACAGCCGAGTCAGCACAATCTTGGAGCCACTGGCAAAACGGGTGATCTGGGTGAAGAGTTGTGCCTTTAGGCTTTCATACTGGTCGGTGGGGATGTCACTCCAATAGCGAGAGATCTTGATGTGCAGGGCACTGGCCCCAAAGTACTGGATCTCAGGCACCTTGTCGGGCTGTAGTAGCTGCCAGCTGAAGTGCCAGGCCTGTGGAGAGACCTGGGCCTGCATCAGCCACTTCTGAGCCAGGTTCTTGTTCTCAATGTTGGGGTCGTAGTAGAGCTGGTGCAGCGCCTGCAGAATAGCACAGGACTGAGCAGGTACTGGCTACTCTGGATCCTACCAGAGCCCAGAACAGAAGGCGTGACTTGGTCCTGAAAGACTGCTCTCTCTCCCTGACTAATAGCTGAACTGGGAGGGAGAGTTCAGGGCTCTGCAATGTATCCTGAGCCCAGGGTCCTGCTGATACCTTGAGAGCCTGAATCATGCCCATGCTCTACCATATCCTTTTCTCCTCATAGCAAAACTTTAGGGGTTAAGAGAAGAAATTTCCCTGAGAAAGTAGAAGAGGACCTCCCCAAAGGGGGCGCACCAGAGCATAAGGCTCAGGTGGAAGGAATCACTCCATAGGGATGAAGCTAAGGCTAAGAAGAGCACGGAACAGTTGGAGGGACCCTGACCCTACCAGGCACAGCTGCTCCCATCAACTCCAATAGTTCCATTCCGCTTCCCCTAGGTCACTCCAGATGCTGGCACCAAAGCCACTGTGAAATCTGAGCAGGACTAAGACTTCGCCAGACAGCCCTGGGGCAGAGATGTACTGGGGGGGGGAGGGTGAGGGCAATCCTCAGCCAGTACATGTGAGGGCCCACCAACGGGATCCAGAGAAGCCTTGGCCACAGCTGTAGCCTTGGCAATGCCTACTCTGGAGCTCTCAGAATCCCCAGGGCCCCAATTCCAGCGGGACTTCATGCAGTAAGAAAACAGTGGTTTATCTCCCTGGCAGCACATGGACAGTGTGCCATGGTGCCAACACCGTCCAGTCCCAAGGCATGGGAGAGTTAGACCAGGACCCTGACTCCTAAACAAGCTCTATCCAAGTAGGCTGAGCCCTATCTGTACCCCTCATGGCCAGTTATGGCCACTGTCCCTTGTCTGGCCCTCAGGGATGCCAAAGCAGGCAAAAAACAGAAGTAGAAGGGAGCATCCTCACTTTCTATTATGGCAAACAGGGCTCAAGAATAAACAAATGAACATGTGCAACCATCCCCTGCCTTCCAGCAAGGAAGCCCATCACCCCATTTGTTTCAGAGGGCATGCATTCCAGCATTCCAGGCTGCTGAGAGTAGAAGCTGAAAAGAATCTGAGAAGCAGTTCCGAAAAGATGGACTGGGCAGTAGGGGAGCCTGGGAAAGCCATGGCAGGAGCTATGTGGGCAGGTGAGCAGAGGAGGGCCCTGCAAGGTTGCCAGTAGGACCAGGCTCTTTGGACCCAGCTCAAAACAAAGGGAGCCAGCTGCACTCCTGCCTGCCCAGGACCAAGCTGGCTTTCACACAATAAACGAAAGACCTCTTTCCAAAGACGAGTGAAAACATAACCCAGATTCTTTCAGTTCCAAATCATCATCTGAGCCCTTGGCTCAACAAAGTCAGGTCCAGGATGGTTCAGCACCATGGTGGTTCCTGAGGACTGAGTGGCAGGTCTTCTGGCTTCCTACTGCACTGCTCATGCAGTTCTGTGGAGCTGGAGCATAGCCAGTCTGGCTAGAAATCTAAGCCATCAGCACCCTGAAGGGACCATCCCAAGACCCTCGGGTCTCTGTCCACAGAGGACCTGTGCCTAAGGAACGCCAAAAATAGTCCATCAGGACTCTGTTAACACTGCTGTCCTGCCTGCCCAGAGACAGCAAATGCCAGGTGCTCTGGGGGCACCGTCCCAGCGGGCAGCCAGCCCAGGCCTGAGCTCTGGCAACAGTGTCAGTTCCCACAACTTCTGCTCTGTCACCGGCGTGCCCACCCCAGAGCCCTCATACCTTCTCCACGTTCTCCACAGTGAAGTCCAAGGCTGGTGCTGCTCCAGTCCCTGCAGCCCCGGGCTGCTCCTCCCGCCGCTCCATTTTGCTCCCTCCCTAGCAGGGAGGTGGACCCTGATCTGGCTCCTGCCCCAGCCCTTTGGCTGCGGGCCCCCTGCTAGACCCCGGCTTGGGTGCCCAGGGAGTGGTGGGGCGAGGGGGAGCCCAGGGTGGGCATGGCTGCCGGGGCCTCCCCACCGCGTTTGGGGGTAGGGGGCTGGCCAGAGACGAAACGGGCGCTCTGAGGAGATCCGCTGAGGGGGACTCCGAGGAGGGGGCCGTCAGTGAGGAGCTCTCAGGCGGGGGTCCGGGTGGTGGGTCACGGCTCTGCCCCAGAATCTGTCAAGAGGAAGTCCTAGAAGAGGGAGCCCTGCGAGGGAAACCGAGCCCCTTGCCCGTGAGGGGTCACAGGGCTGCCCGCCTGTCTCCACAACACCCGCGTCTGGGTGAGCTCTCGGGTGCTGTGAGGTCACAGGGCTGGAGGGTCACGGGGGAGAGAGCCCCTTGCGGGTTACAGAGGCGTCCAAGGAAGCGCGGGGGTGCAGCTTCGCGAGTCTGGGGAGAAGAATCCGTGGAGTTGAGGGGCTGTGGCAGGTCCCCTCCGCTCGGCCTGGTCCGCGCTCAGCTCGCCGTCCGGCTCCGGCCCGGCTACCGCCGCTGTCTCCGCCCCCGTGGCCGGCCGACCAACCGCG